TACATTGTGTTTGGAGTGGATGGAGACATTAAAACTCACCTGGAAGTAATTGTAAACTTTGTGTCTGTTTTTGTACTGTCTCACCTTAAACTGAGACTGAACACACTGACCACCTGATGATGGTGTTTTTGGGGAGCAGCAAACAAAACTGAAAGAAATTTCAACCAGTTTGGCTGACGGACCCGTACACACCATGGCAGTCTTTTAAAACCAAAGCATCAGTTTGGATTTAGTTTGTAGTGTGTTTGTGTCGTCACCCATGGAGAGCTGCGTCAGCGCTGCAGACACACTGATGGGGGCCAGGAACACGTTGGTCCCGGTTTCACGGCTCGCCAGGGCGCGGAACAGGTTGTAGCCAAAGTCCGAAGTGGCGGCGCCCATCTTAGTCGTCGGTGTGGTGAAGAGCTCCACATGTTCCTCCTCCCCGCCCGTCTCCTCGCCTCCCGTCTCCGACTGGACAACAGTAAAGACAACAATCTAAAGATCTGATAGAGCTATCGAACATCCTACCTGGAAGAAAAGCTGATGTGGATTACCTGAGCCTGACAGAAGCTCAGGGCGACTCCAAACACCAGCAAGAAAGTTGTTCGCTTCATCCTGGAAGAAAAACAAAAGTTTTTATACATACACTGTAAAACACAATTTCATTATCACTCATACAAAAACGCAACGTTAATGTTAGCTAGCCATTAGCTGGTTAGGTCATGCAGCTGACGTTGGCTGACTCGAGTTGCCAGGAGCCACACCCGACGGTGAGAGAAAAGAGGAGAAATTATCCAAAACAGTTTAGAAAATCCATCCTTTGTTTGTGGAACTCAGAGACAATGATGATATTCAGAACCACATGATTTCAAAGCATCTTTCTGGATAATTGCACAAAAACGCCACAAAATTATACAACTGGTTCAAACTTCATCCCCAAATACAAACTGATGACGCTGTGAGGACCACAAGAAAGACCAGATCATCCAAACAGTCGGAGCATAAAGTGTTTCTCTCAAGAACAGCCTCCCTATTGTGGAGCTCCACCTCTGGAACAAACAGGAGCTAAAGTTTACATTTCCATCAGCATTTTACTGCAGCTGCACACACACATAATGTCTCTTTTGTTCTTCTGCACACATCTGGACCTGGTTGTCGTGGTTTCACAAGAACAAAAGTCCTCTGAACCTCAGACCACACACACACACTCACACACACACACACACACACTGTGCCTGATGGGAAATCCAGAGGGTGTCGTCCAAAAAGTTGCAGGGGCTGCAGTTTCCTAACTTTCAATGACCTTTTCCTCCACAGACTCACAACCAATGTAAATTCATGAAACAGCAGCTGTATATTCGAATATCGGTGTGCTCATTTTCTGACTTCAGTTTGTTCAGATTACACAAAATGTACTTTTTGTGTCGTTTCCTTTAATGTCAAAATGTAAAAATCAAATATAGAAACAATTTAATTACACTATAAATCTGACTACAGCCGGACCAGGACACCTGAATTCAGGATCCACAAGGATCTCTAAAGATTCAGCGTATTTCGATAGTTTAGAGTCTGAACAGGCCTGATGGAGTCCTGCAGAGTCCTGCAGCAGACGGAAGACAGAAGATGAGCCGCTGACACAGCAGACGTGCTTCCTGCAGGAACTTGTCTCTGATACTCACAGGAATGTTTTCTCGTCAGCTTTCTGATTTCACATCAGAAAGTCACGACCCCCAAATTATTCCACAGAACTGCAGAGAAGAACCAAAGTCACTAATAACCTCTGTTAGCTCTGTTCTGCACAATATAACTACCTAAACTTATATATTCAACAACACCTTCAAAGCTTCTACACTGATTAGAATTCATTAGTTCCGTTCATTTCAGACACAGCAGAATCTAATGATTAAAGTTTGACCCTGCTTCTGTCCCAGAACTATTATATAAACTGTTGGATGGAAAAGGTCCAGCTGTGATTGTGTTTCTTGGCACAGCGACGCAGAGCTGAGATGGAAAAGCTGAACTGCACTGCAGAAAGTTCAGAAGTCCAAGTTTGTGACTGTTAACAGAATTATTAAATCAGAAAGTACGAAAGCACTTTCTGATTCTGATTCTTTCTTTATGAATGCCAACAGACTGAATCGATGTAAGACAAAGAACTGAATCCTCTGCAGGTTCATCAAACTATTTCGGTCAAAGTGAACTGAACAGCAGCATTAACCCCGAATTGATTTCCGTTCATCGAACAAACAGAAACAATCAAAAAGAAAAAGTCAAACTCTGTGCGTTAAAGCGCAACAAAGCGCGGAGAAGCGCACTCACCTCTCCTCTGCTCCCGGACGGTCCACGTCTCTCAGACTCTCTCTCGCTGCAGATGAGTCGAGTCTTTGCCCTCTGACGCCTCCTGGACCTGCGCCCGAGCGGAGCGCGTCCCCGTTGCCGCCAACAGAGCGCCGGGAGCGCGCAAGACAGACCGAAGATGGTTTGGCATCTACGGAAGCCCGTTTCCGCCAATATGACGGGGAAAAAGATTCTGTAAGTTATTATAATGAGAAACTTTCTCTTAAAATAATGACCGAGTCAGTATTTTATTGTCAACATTTTATTTCCAGTGGCTGAACACCAAATTAAAATCAGCATAAAACATCTGCAAAGAAAAAAATTTTTAACATCATAATGCACAACTTGTTTTGGTATGAAACAGTCTTTAAATGCATCACCAGGCCTAATAAATGTATTATAAACAGTCACTAAACACAAGCCTGACAAGCAGTGTCTGAAATGGGCCCATATTCAAAGGCACTTCTGATTTTTGTCCACATCAGTATCCTTATTTCTTCTCTCGGGTTAAATGTCAAGGTCACAGCCAACCAGAGGCAGAATACGGATAGAAAAAAGTTAGCAATATTGCTCAATGCTAAAAAAACAGCACTAAGATTGTCTGTGTTAAGACTGATTTAAAAAGATTTAGGGTTAGTTGAGGGACAACTGGCTCTTTTTAGGGTTTTCGTCCAATTCAGGCACTGCTGAGAAGCTTGATAAAATTGATTACTACATACAAACATTAATTTTAGGATTTTAAATTATTGACTCTTTCATATAAAACTCAATACTCATCACTATGATTGCAGTGTATTCGTATTTTTGAACTACAATGCCTTTCGAGCAACACAAGACTAAGGTTTTCATCCGCTGCTGCACGTCTGAATATACTTTAAAGGAAAAGTTTGACAATCTGGGAAATGATTTGCTTTCTTGCAGAGTTAGAAATGACCATCGGATACCGCTCTCATGTCTGTCTCCACTACTGCATTGGTTGCAGGCATGAGAGTGGTATCATCTAACTGCAACAAAGCCAATAGGCGTATCTCCAAACATGTGGAACTATTCCTTTGACAAGTAAGATCTGAAGCAGGTACAGAGTCGCAGGTTTTATTTCTTCCTCCCGTCACTGATCTCCAGTCCATTTACTTGCTGCTCCCTCTCACCAGCGGGGGCGCTACATGACTGAACGCTGCTGCCCCCTGCTGGCTCTGTCTCGCTGCACGACCTGTTGTTGTGTTTGCTTTTCTCCGTCGCAGGCTGGTCGCTCATGGTGCTGTTGCCGTGGGGATCATCATTGAGCATGGGGTCGTTGTCTGGGGCGGGGTTCGTGACGATGCCCATGAAGAGGGGGGCCAGAGAGGCGTCATCGACGAGGGCGAAGAGGAAGGGAGAGTTGACGGAGAAGAGGGAGATGGAGCGCATGGAGGTTACAACAGTGGTGGCGGATGCCTCCACGCCTTCCTCGCTGAGTTCCACGGTGCTGGCGTGGCGGACACCGGTCACCTTCAGAGGGTGGTCGGAAATCCCAGAAAGATCAGGACCCAAGAAAAGGGAGCCGAGGCCTGGTAGAGACCGAAAAATTGGGCAGAGTTACAGACTGAGGGGCCAGATATACTCCTAATTCACGCACTCCATTGTAGCTAAACAGACATGAAAAGTATAATTTGCACAAATGAGGAAGGAAAAATGCTGTTGAGAGCTTTATGTGTTTTATGTTAATTTGAATTTTGTGTGTTGCCATTTAGCTGTTGAAATTGTAATTGATATCACCACCACGGTATCTACGTTGTTTCTTCTAGGTATCCTTTCTCTCTTAGTAAAGCTAATACTCTCACCCATGCTGGTCAGCGCTTCCTGGAGCTCCTGGCGGTACTGTAGCTTCACCTTGGGTAAGTTGACCTGCATTGTTTTCTCCTGAGGTAGACGTCTGTAAAGGTCGGAGATGTTCAGTTTTGAAAGTACTGATGACATGTTTCCTCTGCCCGGCAGGGGCATGACAATTAAGAAGCTGGTGTTTCCCTTGAAGGGAAAACTGGCAACCTGGAAGAGAGAGAAAGACTTTTTTTTCCATATGAACTAACTCTCAATAAATCACTATAGGAACACATGGTGGTTAACCTCCTTAAAACGACCCTAACCCAACCACACCTTTATACCATTAACATGAAAGGGAAAAGGAAGAAAGTGAAATAATTAAGTGAAAACACTTGCTTATGATTGGCTGTTTGGTCAAAGTTGTATAACAGGACACCTTAAACATAGATTTAACCACGAGTGGCAGCAGGGTAACCATGTCCTCCAGCTCGTTCTGGGGGATCCCAAGATTGGAACTAAAGTCAGGTGTCTTGGTCTTCATGTAGCCTTAACTCTGCTATGTTATTTGACAAGTATCGCTTGTCAATTGTCAAAAATATCAAACCAAATCTAAATCAGTCCTCAACAAAATGACTGTGAAAGACACTGCAGAGTATATTGAGTCATAACTCCAAGGTAAATGGCTGAAAATCCAGACTTGGACATGTCACCCTTTCAAACACAAAGAGATCCAGAATACCCACATTCTTGTTTTTGTACTGTTAGGATAAAACCCAAACAATATCATGCGTTGGTGTGTAAAAGCCTTGTGAGCAATATTGGCTCCACTTGTCATGATGGACAGTATCAGCACCATCCCTGCATGCCAACGTCGGCGTTACCTGTGCTTCCAGTTCTGGATCATCCAGCAGGCGGAGAGGGTACTGGGCAGATTTCATCATGTTCACAGACACAGAGTTCTGGTTGTCTAGGTAAAAAATTCCCTTAGAAGTCCCTAGGGGGTCAAATCGTGTCTGCCATTCACCTGAAAAACACAGAGGGGAGCAAGAAGAATCATGGCTACAACTGTTATTGTCATTTCACAGAGTTTTGATACATAGAAATGAAATTTGTCCTCTGAATTTGACCTGTCCTATACACTAGGAGAATTAGGCATCCAGGGAGCCACTTGGGGTCCAGTGTCTTGCTCAAGGCCACTTGAACACATGGACAAAGGTCAAACCGCGAACCTTGAAGTTAGCGGATCTGACTTGTTTTATTCACTTATTGCACTTCTTCACTATGACTATAAATCACCATACTGAGTGGTCTTTGGTGGTATGGTTCACCTTTGAAGTACACAGCGTTCATGAGCATAAGCACCACGTCATGTGGAATACTTTCCAGGAAGTTGGGGATGTGACCATTGGTGGCGTTCTCCACCCATTGGTTGACATCCTCCACAGAGACCAGAGGGACGGGCTGTGATTTGTACCTGAAGAGAGAAAAAATTTATTTTACTTTTACAGCAATCAAAACCACACAATATTATCTCCATTAAATATGACCCAGTTTCAGACAAATCAGTGATAAAGTTTTTGTACAGTAATCAGTGACCTCCGGCCCCCAGAAACACTCCAACAGAAAGCCATGCTGTTGCTAGCTAGCTTACTAATGAATTTTAGCCCTGTGTGGCTAAAAGTAGTAGATGGATTGATGGGTGGATGCCATTATAATATTCATTGGTTCATGCTTACGTGAGCATGCGTCACATTTTGTTTTACAGGAAGAAAGAATTATTAGATTTCAATATAAAATACAAAGTAGTAGATTTTATTTTACATAAATTGTTTAATAGGGTACAATATGACAGGGGATGTAATCTCACAGGTTTAAAAAGGCATTTTACATCTGTATTTTAATGAAAAGCAACAGCATTCAACCAGTGAATGCTCATGTGGCCTGGTTGTCGTTGATAACGTTACCTGGCCAAAGAATCCTCAACAAAAGACAACTTCACTTCAAATCCTGAGAGATAGAAGAAGGGAGACAAAATGGAAAAGATGGATAAGATGAATCTTACAACAAACTACTTAAAAACTATCACCAGTTCAAAAATCACCACACACCTGGTCTCAGGTACATGCGTGTCGCCACCTCTAACGATGTGTTTCTGAAATGAGGTACAAGGCCTCCAAGTATATGATGGTAACACGGCAGACTGTGGGCATGAAGGCTCTTCAGCAGCAGCTTCTCTGTCTCGTTGCGAGCACCTTGGAGAAGAAAGTAAATCACTTAATGGAGAATATATGGAGCAACTGAAGCTCATTCAGAAAACTAACATTTTTAAAGTTGCTTGCTTGTTGCCATGCGAACAGAACACAGTGTTGTTATTTCAGCTTCCGAAAAAAGACTTTTCACTGGACACTGTGTTGAATTTAATGGACTTCAGTGCTGGAGCTCCTCCTCGTCACTCAAACTATTGTTTTGTATTTTGTATTGCGCAACTTGTAACTGAAGAACTTTACTTTATGATGAAGACGCTTGAGAATCAGTAAAAAATCCTACTGTCCTGCACACAACTGGCTGAGTATTGATCTCTTGAATAACAGAATGAAACTCTGACTGACCTAAGGTGAGGTGAGCGAGGGCAAAGGCCAGGCTGAGAGGTGACACAACGATGTTCGGCTGCTGTGGACCGATAGGAAGCTTTTCCAGGATCTGTAAACCCAGTCGCTCTATGGTGCCCCCTATTGCCCTGTGTTCCTTAGGGCTGAACAACTGCCTTCCTCCGCAGCTCTGGACCTCCTCCTCTGTGTCCTCCTCTTCATCGACAGGACCGGAGACATCAGGAATTCCTGGAGTGGGCTCCTCCTGAAGAAAGGAGGACAGACAAGGTTCAGAGTGCAGTTAAAAGTCAAATAAACAGCTAAGAAACAATTTCCCTTTAGTGCTTAAGAAGGTAGTTTATTAGAATGAGGTTCTTACAGTCAGTCCCAGACAGCAGAGACAAAGCAAGAAAAGAAGAAGACACAGCTTCATTTCCAAACAACCAGCCTGAAAAACACAGAGACATCGTCAGCATCACTATACATTAACACCTTTATCTAATGATGACATCGATAGCATTAATCTCTTTTGTCTGTTACGTGGCTTGCAATGAAAATTTGCCATTGGAAACCAGAAACCAAAGACTGAACACAAGACTGAATACCTACAGCAACAATAATCTGTATCTGTATCTCCATGTGATGAATAATATGTCCAAAGTTTAACCAGGAATTTTAGTATTTACATCGTTTTATCAATTGTGTCCCTTGAAAATGAGATGGTGCATCTAAGAGGGCTTTTCCTCAAATTAAAATATTTTGAAAATGGTTCTTTTAAAGGAGTCAATATAAATATTAGAAATTGGCCACAAATTATTGGTCACATTTTTAAATGATAAAAGCATTTGATTGTACTAATAAATAAATTGATATAAGAAACTCATCTTGATATCATCCCAAATTAATCCGGTCCACACTTTTATAATCTGTACAGTCGCATCTTGAACTTTTTTGATCCCAAGGGGGTTGCGAGTTAATATACGGGTGTTGGAGGTAGGATTAGCACCATAGACACTTCATGACAATCCAATTGTTGGATATTTTATTGTGAGCCAACTGACTCTGTCTCCAAGTAGTCAAAATTGATGTTTAAGTGTTTTTATTAAATATTTCTTGTGCTATGAGTCACCTATACATCGGTATCTGGCTCAATAATGACAAAACAATCACTTTTTTAGGTATTTTAGTAAGTTTTTCAGGTATTCTTAATGATATTTTACAGTTTGTCATTTCCTGAAAAACGATAAAAAAGTTGTGCCTTGCTCAGCTTCCTCTCAAGCAACCTCTCAGTGATTGACAGAGTTTCCTGATAGAGTGATAGCTTTAACTACTTGCTAAAGTGGCTAACCGCTAATTTACTACTGCTAACTGTATCTGGACCAGGATTGAACACAGTCTTCAAAACCGTTAGGGAATAACCTTACAGTGCTGAGGTCATTTACAGAGTTTCCTGATGGAAAGATTGCAAAGCAAACCGCCAACTGCCGTTAGCTCGGTCAGCCGTGCAGCTAACCTAAGTGACTCCAAACCCGGCAAGAAAACCCCCTGAGTACAGTATTCCCTGTCAAAATTGGCACCGCCGGTCTCAGAGATTGTGTTTGGTCCTGAGGCCGGCTCATCGACGTATAAAACAAGATGGTCACTGGAAGTTGGACACTGATGCTAGCTCATAGTGCTAGCTGCATAGCAGTGGGGGTGTAACATACACTGGCTGCAGTAAACACCAATTGTTGCCAAGATATTTTAGTGTGGGCCGACTGACTCCGTAGAAATCCTCTGCTACTGGCAAAAGCTGCCAGAACTACCGACATGTCAATATAAATTTCATTGTAATGGTATCTTATTAATGTATCTGTCTGGTTGGTTTAGAGTTTCAGATATGGCTGCTGTGTTTACCAGCGGACTAAAGGTTACTGTTTCAGAACCTTTTTTTGGCTGAGCTGCAATACGCTGAATACACAACACAGAATACACTGAACTGCATGAACTATATGAATCTACCAACATCGTATACGTGATCTACGTGATCTTACATACAGTCTTTATCTATAAATGTATGGCGATGCATCTTTTCTATTCAAATGCAACTCAAAGCACCCTCTATATACCTCAGTATATTGAGTCATAAAGGGTGTTTGTAAACTACAGATTATTATTTTAGCAGCACTGACACTGAAACGACACAGAATGGAGTGAAAACTTTGGTGAAGTCAAAGATGGTCCGAACTCACCTGACCTGTGTATGATGTGGAGGCAGACGAAGAGAAACCAAAGGGGTTAAAAGATGAGATGAATAAAATAAGAGTAAAGACAGATATGGTCAATCTTCTCAAGGCTGGATAGCGTAGTGGCTGGACTCAACAACCGCTGCCCCCCTGTTGGCTGGTTAATGATCAACTCTGGACTGAGTGTGACTGTATCTGTGGTCACAACAGAATGTAAAAATAAAGAGACAGGCTGTCAGACAGGTGTAAATCCCTTTGTAGAAATGACAGAGGCTGTAAATCCGTCTTGGACGACTGGAGACGATATTATTTCTAGTTGAAGGTTGGGTGACATACTCTTTACTCCAAAATACTTACTTAAAGGTCCAGTGTGTAACTTTTACCTATTGTCAGAAATGAAATATGATATCCATAGGTATGTTTTCATTAGTTTATAATCACCTGAAAAAGAGCATTGTATTTTTGTTACCTTACAATAAGCTGTTTTTAATGTACCGCACGAGGAACCGCCAGGCTCCTCTTTCTACAGATCCGCAATGTTGGCAACCATGTTTCTACCAGTCAAAATACACTGCTAAATCAATGTTATAAAGTTTACCGGTCCTAGACCGGACCTGCTCTATTTGAAAAGTGTCCCTGAGATAACTTCTGTTATGAATTGGCGCTATACAAATAAAATTGAATTGAATTACAGTAGCCTAGAACAGACAAACCAAACACTGGTTCTAGAAACAACACGTTCTCACTCCCAACTGGTCAAACACTGCTGCTTAGTCAGTGGCACTCCGCTGTAGAAATCCCTCTTGCATTATTTCTGGACACACAGGTCAAGTTACCAAAAATAAACATGTAACATCCGCAACTTACGGTCAGGTAAGCAAGAATAAATATGCAACGTTCTGTCGCACTGTGGTGGTTCACATTGTGAAGGTTTAGGCACAAAAACTACTTGACTAGGATTAGGAAAAGGTAGTAAGGTACGTTACGTATCAAGTGTTGTTTACTGTTGGTTTCACACATCTGGGTTAAAGTCCTGTGTTTGTTTGAGCCGTCCACCCACTCCACCACCTCCATATACAGAATTTCTCGCTCTTTATAGTTCGTTACCTCACTTTGATGGCGGTTGCGTCCAGAAATGACAGTATTATACTTTATACTGTACAGTATTTAATGTCTTGGGAGTAAGACGGGGTTGCCTTTCGCACCGAAGTGTGTAGTCTCTCCTACACACTTGGAAGGCGAGCTGTATTCAGTTGGTTGCAACTTTGCCATGAGATGCCACTAAATCCTATACACTGGTCCTTTTAAGGAACACACCATCTTTAATATATCATAATTATGACAGTTTAAGATCATAGTCATGACTCAGTAAGTTTAAGATCATGATGTTATAGGCAACCGAGAAGCTCTAGGAAGGTCTATTTTTTATGCTACATTACGATCCATTCTCACATTGGCCATAAAAAGTAATTAAAGGTGGGGTTTCTCATTCTGGAGGAACATAGTTGATTGTAGAGTTGTTCCCAGGCCATCAAATACAGACTCTTTGGGTAAATTGGAAACAACAAAGTTGCTTAGAGTTTGTGATCGTGCTCCCAGGTTGCCAAAAGCTAAACTAAAGTGTACTTAACAACAAATCTAATCCAAACTTGAAACAAAGCTAAACGACAAAACCAAATTAGCATTAGCATCAGTTTCACAGTGGACTGAAAGAGATTGAAACTGCTTTGTGCACTGACTCGTCCTTCAGCTTTGGGCCGTCATGGCGCTCTACACATACATTCAGCAGAGAGAGTGGGCGTATATTTATCTTGGTCTAACTGCCTGGTTCCAGCTTAACGCCCCCACAATGCAGCGCTGTAACAAACAGGGTCCTTCCTTTACCTCAGTTCACCTTGATCCTCACCAGTCACTGAGACTCACTGTGAAAGTCGCTCTGAAATATGGAAAGGTCATTCTCCATATTATGAGGTTTATCTTCCTCAGTGTAATTCAAGAATCCGTTTATTTACTGGGCTGATGTAATGAACACAATGACACACATTCAGATATTTGGTAGAGATATTTGGTCTCTTGTTACCAAGCTGCAAGCGACATCAAGAATACTTCCACTAAGCATCCAATAGGTGGTACTATAATACTATAATGACACACAGTTTGGGGGAAGTCTTTTCTTCAGCTTTCATCTGCTGGAAAGTTTTAAAACCAGAACAGTGGAGTTTGTGAAAGCAGCACATCAAACAGCAATCTTTGGCATCGTGGTGTATTTCAGAACCGTGTTTAGGTGCTGTGAGAGTTAAGAAAAGAAAAGCCATCCAGTTCCACCCACACACTGCTGCCTGAGTTCCAGTAACAACAGATACTTTTCCCAGCTGCACATTCAAACGCATTGACCCTGGAAACCAGTATTAAACAACTGACCCCCTTCCACAGTCCCGAACCTTTTCGCTCTGTGCTCCGATATATAGTTACATTTCTCTTTCCCTGTACTTAGATATGCTATGTTTTAAGCAAATGTCTTTTAAATATAGACATGCCTAGCACATATCATATCTAAGCAGAGGAAAGGAAGAAGTTTACTGAGGTTTTAAAAGTGGCGGGGCTTAGGAAGGATCAATGATGTTGAGCCAGCTGCAGTTTTCCCCATGAAGTCAAATTTGATGTTTAAGTGTTTTTATTAGATTTTTAAAAGTCTTTAAAAAAAAAAGGTTGTGCCTTGATTAGCTTCAACTCTCCAACAGGATATCAAGGATGACAGTTGTTGTATATGTTTGAATCCTTTAGTCCTGCAGTTTTAATATCTCCATACAGATGCAATGATTTGCCAGCAGATGTCTCCATTTAGCACGTAGGAACACGTCCCAGCTCTGCTGTTCACATTAGAGGAGCTTCCATTACAAAACACTACAGTTCTGATAACTTTAATCTGTATTAAACTGTGTCCTTTTCCAGTGTTTCTCAAAAACGTTGTTGGTTTGGTTGAGGTGAAGTTCACATTTTACAGCCCAGATCAAACAGCAATTAGACTAATTTACAACTTTTTATACACCTGAGTGACTAAAAGAGCCCCACAGTGCACTCTATGGCTGTACCTGCATCAGTGTTTTATTTCTTAGTGTTTATAAGTATTTTTCGGTTTTAGAACTTCTGGCCAACAGACAGCAGGAAAACGCTGGCCCATTTATAGAAGAGTTGATTAATGTGAGTTGTGCAACCACATGTGTCCACTGGGTGACAGCAGAGGATAAACTCAGAGGCAGCAGATTATTATCAGGGTTTAAATATACACTGATCACTGAAATGTCAATTAAAAAGAGTTAAAGATTATCTGCTTTTTGGTGTGAAAATAATAAACAGGATCTCTTTTCTCTGATGTGAGCTCCTACAAAATAAAATTATATTTGACACTAATCGTAAAGGTTTTGTCTTTTTATGTCTCTCTGCTCATTATTATTCAATTTCATGACATTTTGAAACATGTTGTCATTAAGACATGAGCAGAATAATTAAATGAATGCACAATATTGAATAGAATTTTCAGACAATAAGATGAGTGATGATTTCTCTTTTTTTTAAAGAAGTTAGTAACCTGTAGTTTTTACACACCTGAAAGTCAGAAAGGCTGAGATGTGGTGAGTAAAGACGGATTATTCAATGTTTCTCCTACCATATTGGTAAAAACTGGTGTTCAAGATTAATTAATTAATGTCCTGACATGCCAACATTTGGTTCCTGCAGAGAATCTGTGTGCAGTGTTTGCTCTCAGACACTCTTCATGAAGTAAAGGTTGTGTGTCCCACATTCAGTTTGTCTCTGTTGGAGCAGCTGATAACTGCACAGCCTCTCCCTGATTTCCACGACATCGTTATGTCAAAAAAATGAGTCAATGGAACAAACTGGAATTATATCACAAATACTTAAAATGCGCAAATTTAGGTTCACTAAACTTGTTGAGTTATTACTCCAACAGTTCATTGTTGTTGTTTTTTTATTAAAATGTGCTTTTAGGTTTTACAGTGAATATATCTGCAATGGACACAGACATAAAGAAGGAGGAATAAAGTATAAACATTGTTTGTGTTTTGAGTTCATTCATTCATTGAGTTGATAAAGAGTGGACAGTTTGTATAAAGCACATGTTGCTGTGAGACCTTCAGATGTACTCGAGCTCCAGGTGTCAGATTAGATTTTAAATGATCATAAAACCTGACATTACTTAACGTTCCTGCTGCAGCGACTCAGCGACTCAGAGCTCCGGGTTCACAGTTTCCACCTCAAACTGTGAACTCTGTTGAGTTTGTGCAGGAGGATAAAAGGTGAGCTCAGTCTGACGTCTACAGGAGATCTGATTCCTCCTCTGTGTTTACTCAGTGTGTGTGTGTGTGTGTGTGTGTGTGTGTGTGTTCTGTGCTTTCTATT